TATGACTTTATGCAGGGTAATAGTTTTATGTCATTGTTAAAATTGTTGATACACTTTTAATGCTGTTGAATAAAGTTGAAGAAATATGATTATATAATAATATAATTAAACAGTGTAGTTCAGCCTCTGGGTTTTTTTTAAGCTCTTGAGTTATGTGTGCACTTTTGTAATATATTTTGTTATACATTATACATTTCATTTGTAATATCTGCTTTTTTAGACCGCAGCTGTTCACGTGTATAATATAATGTAATCAACAGACCAACCCATTCTTTGGAGGTATTTAAAGTAACTCTGTTATTATATGCTTCCAGTTAAAGGGTGTTTCATCTTAAGCACTTTAGGTTCGACTCGTGAGAATCACGTAGAAGGGTCTATATCATGTTGAATGCATTCCACTCGAAAATTAATTAATTTGTCGCATATATACTTGCGTGTGTTCATCCTATATAAGACATATGTCACACAATCCCGTGGAAACTGAACAATTTTTGATTCACTTGTCGATTTTCCGTTAATATTTACATAAACGTTGCCAAATAATTTATATGTATGTACACATTTATATATACATAAATTCGTAGACACTTTGTGTATATATCATATATACATTTTGATTTGCTCAAAAGTAATGCGCAAAGCAAAAACAATTTTTGAGCTTTCGGCACTTCGAGCAACGCGGAACAAACCGAACGCATTCACAGCCAACCTGTGACTAAATGGATAAAAAAAAAACTGAGCGAAAATCGCAAACTTTGCCCAATGCAGAAGCAGCACTGAGCTTTATGCTGAGCAGGTGTTTGCGGGAGAGAGATAGAGAGAGAGAGAGAGAGGGAGAGGGAGAAGTGAGCCTCTCACGCCTGCGCTTTACTGACGTTTCGTGGCAGCACATTTTGCACGTCATTTCTCATCTGTCAATATTGGAATTGCTTGTTTCTGCTCTCCTAGGGTTACGCATTTTACTTTTACTTGGTTGTTGGACCAATTATTGTTATTAAACGTTTGCTTTGTCTAATCTCTAGAATGTTTAAGCTCTAATCTTATCAAATTGCTGTGTTATTATGTGCAGCGCATTATGCGGAGACTCTGTTCATTAAAAAAAAATTGTGTTTTGTTGTCAACGGAATTGTGTTTGTCATATTTTTGTTTTCCGTTTGTTATTGAGTTTATCATTTTTTATGTTACTTTTATATGAGTTTATTAATGAAACACATTATATTGATATATGAATTAATTGTAATACTACGCACATACACAATTGCTTCATTTTATTCAAAAATAATTCTTTATCATTTTGTTTCAGTTGGTTTCTTTAACAAGACACATGTATGTATGTGTATATGTACACATGCTGCTTTTATCGCCACACAACCGCTAGAAAATTGTTGACCTTTAGTCGCTGACAACGCTATGTTTAATTCGTGATTTGGTGTCGTGTTTAAAATACTCGTACGTTCCTATATTTTGCCCTTAGCAAAGTGTTTTTATAACGCACTCAATGTTTGAAGTCTACAAATTCCGCAAGCTTTCAGCATTATATTTTGTTGTTTAATGCACGCTTAGCTTAATTTACAGTTAGCGCGAGTCATGCGAATGGGGCAAACGTCCCTGACAAACTGAGCAGCGCGCGATTGCGGCTTCGACGACAGCGCTTTTAAGTTTAAACCCGGAGAGCATATCATATACTCTCTTTAGCTCTCCCTCTCTCTCTCAGGCTACGCTTGTGAAGATAACTCTTTCTTGTTCTCTTCATTTCGTTTTATGTACGCTGTAAGTTGTACATTAGAATTTGGCAACTGCTTTTTACGATAATGATACGCTGACTCATGAGCCGTTGTTATTATATCTTATTCTTTTTAGTAATTGTTGCTCTCATATTGATAGCTAGAATATTGCTCAAAGTTCACATGGATTGACGCTCTCCCTTCTGCAATTGTCTTTTGCTGTGCGCTTTACATGTCATTGACTTTTTTATATCTCTCTTTATTCAGGGTGTTTTTATAATTTTTTGTGCCTGTCCGCGCTAGCCCAAATCGAATCTTTTGTCATTTTTAATTGCCTAATATGGTTGCTTCTATTATTATTATTTGAGCTCTTTGTTTACTCATTACAGTGTAAGTGGACCACACATTTTGTCATATTCATGAAACAACCATCAAAAATGCTTATTATGAAAACTATTTCCCAGCAAAGGTTCTCACAAAGCAACTGAATTTCGCTTGGTTCGTGTCCGCTTTCATTGCTCCATGTCGTATTTCGTAGTCTGAAGGTCAGCTGAATCCTTTGACGCCTCCAATAACAAAACCGTCGACTGTTCTTTGTCTTTGCTAAATTATATAAGAAACGAGAGTTGCTTAAATCGTTTCTAAATATAACTACAAGACTGTGGAGTCTTACTAAGAGTATTACATCTCTCTCTTAATTGTATGCAGTTTTTCTGTCTCTTTCCTCTTATTCCACCTTTTAACATCACTCCCTTTACCCGTTATAAATTGCCTTTATATGCGATTCTCACAAGCTCCAGTTGGCAGCTGATAGATTTTAGTCTCACTTTCTTTTAGGTTCAAATAATATTATTGTAATGATTCATATTATTTTATCCTCCTAATATTAATTTATCAGTTATATTCGTGTTTTCTCTTTTCTTGATGGAAAGAAAATGTTAATACGTAGAATATTATTCAACTCTCGCAAAAACAACCGAAATTTGAGATATTTGAAAAAGGAAATGTGCCTTACCGAACTATTTTTGCATTTGTCAGGAAGCTTCTTAAGACGGCAGCTGCCTTTTTATAAGCTTGAGTAAAAATATTCAAAGGTAGTTTGTACAAAGGGAATTATAAAAGCAGCTGCAAACTCGTTCAAACTATGCCACCAACCCTTGGTTACTTGGGTAAAAATGGAGGGGATCTCATTAGTTTTTTTGCATGATAAATTGTCGTAAATCTTTTCCATCTGACCTTCAGACAACGTCACAGCCCACAAACATATACATATATGAGCATATGTGGTCCATAATTGTGTGACAGGCAGACAAAAGACCTCGTTGAACCTGAAGAAAACTAGAAACAGAATCCATGCATAATTCACATTCTACAATCGTATGTGTTTTCTCTTGATTGAGCTTAATTCATTCGCATAGTATGCGATTTGCTTGCCACAGCTACGGGCATAGAATTTTATTCCTATTCTTTTCTTTTTTTTTTTGCTTTTCTTGATTTCATTTATGAACCTTGCATTAATTTTTAACATTTAGCGCTCTACAAATTATAGAAGAAAAAGAGTATAATAATTGGTTTGTTATAGTAAAACAATTGCACAGATATTACGAAGTCGGAGAGCTGTCGAGATCAAGTATCAGGCGAATATCGATTTCCGGTTCGTAGGGGTGTTCAGCATAGTCCAAGATTAAGAGTCCATGGTCGTCTTTGCTCAGGCTGCAGTTGTTTGCTGCTGCTCCTGTGTTGTTGTTGTGGACACCGCCGAGCTGGACTCGGGCGCCTTCTCATCGATGGCCAGCCAGGGGCAGCGCTTTTGCAATTCCATGCGGTACCTGGGATGACTGATGGCATACACAAACGGATCTATGCAGGCCACCAGCTTACAGGTGCAGGCCGGTATCATAGTAGCTCCTGGTGTTAGCAAGCTCTTGTCCCCGAAAGCTCCAATCAGCGACATGACACCGTAGGGTGTCCAGGATACGAAAAACAGAAAGCATATTGTAATGGCTGCCTTTGCGATGCGTATCTCGGCGGTGTCCTTGCTCTTGTCCACATTCGAGCGCAACGATTCGACGTTCATCTTTTTGGCCTGCTCGCGCAAAGCCTTCTCGTGGCTGAAAACGTGTCCCACTATCTGGCTGTAGTAGTAGATGATCATTAGCGTGGGGCACACAAAGCTGAAGAAGAAAATGGTGCCGACAAACAGGCGCGTATCAAAGTTATCCGTCAGGTAATCAAATGTGCAGGATGTCAGATAGCCCTCCGGCACAAACCGATCCCAGAACTGGGTTAGCGGCAAAACAACCCATGGAGTGCAGTAAAGCCATATGATAACGTTTATTATAATCGCCTTGGTGAAGGTCATGTTGCGATTCATGGGCTTCGTTATGACATTGAAGCGATCGTAGCCGATGGCCGCATTGGTCATTCCGGCACCAATTCCCGAATACGAACCGATGGCGGCAAAGACTTGGCATCCAACGTTGCCCAAAGCAAATCCTCGATGGAAGCTGTTGTAGATGAAGATCGGCGCCTTGAGGCACATTATAAAGTCGAACACGGCCAGATTCAGTACAAACATATTGGATGGCGTGCGCAACGACTTGGATGTCGAGAAGATCCAGATGACCATGCCGTTGCCGACGGTCGAGGCGCAAAACAGAAAGATGTAGAACACGCCGAGCATGTAATGCATCGAGGCTGGCGGCTCCAACTGGGTCAGCCAGTGCTCCGGTATATGCTGTATCTGATCCGGCGGCACATTCCAGCCCAAAAACTGCAGGTCACCGTTGCCCGAGACGCGTGCCTCCGGTCTCAGCACAGGACCTTCGCTGGCATTGCACAGCGGTGCCCCCGCGTTGTCCATTACATACGAACCGCCGTTCAAACTTTTGGCGTATGGTCTGCCGCACGCACAGCGTCTTTTATACCTAAGGCAGACCTTTCGCAGCGGCTAATTGAATTTGGACGTGGGCTTGCGTGCCGCCAAATTCCTTTTTTTGCCAACCGTGCAGTTGGCTTAAATGCCCAGCAGCTTGGCTTAAAAGCCACACAATAATTGATTTTGCAGGCCAATGTCGAGATTTTAATTGTGGGTGGAGGAATTTTAGCGAAAACCAAAAATCTCTCCATGAAAGGTTCTCTAGAAGTAGACAACGTTTATTCCCACTACGAATTCTTGGCAATGCACAGCGGAGCATGTTTAAGGAAACGATACAAAGAAAATTAAGAGAATTTTAATTGAATACTTTCCTTTTTCTCTCCCGTTCTCGTTTACAGTATTGCAATGGCGGCGATTTGGCGGATTATCTGAGCGTTAAGGGCACCCTCAGCGAGGATACTGTCCGGCTGTTTCTCATACAACTAGGTAAGTGTTTAATATATATATTCCCAATTGACATTCTCTGACTTTGAGATATATTCTCGATTCGCAGCTGGTGCCATGAAAGCACTTTATACCAAAGGAATTGTGCATCGTGATCTCAAGCCACAAAACATTCTGTTGTCGCACAATTATGGCAAGACTCTGCCAGCACCATCCAAAATAACGCTGAAAATTGGTAAGCGCCTATAGGAAATAAAAGGCAGCTAATAATATATTCAACAAATATCCTAGCAACAAATGAATTTAAGTGTAAAAATGGTTAATAATTAATATTAAGAGTTATGAATAAATTACTGGTAATTTTATAAAATTATCAGCAATTAATACAGTTTCCATAATTCTTCATCATTTTTACACTTAAATTTGTTGCTGTATATAAATATATATATATATATATATATATATATATATATTTTTTTTTTTTAAATCGTCTTGTTCTTAACCCAAATCAATATTCAAATGTATATTTCTCAGTATTTCAATTATATTTTTTTCTTATCAATCTATTTTCTAAGAAATAAGTTCATTTATAAAAGCTGAAATATTAATTTTTGACATTCCTCTGCAGCTGATTTTGGTTTTGCGCGTTTCCTAAACGAGGGCGTCATGGCAGCCACGCTGTGCGGCTCGCCCATGTACATGGTAAATATTGGCCGCAAATTTCCATTATTAATTAACTGAAAGAACAACATTGTTGACAGGCACCGGAAGTGATTATGTCACTGCAATACGACGCAAAGGCCGATCTCTGGTCGCTGGGCACCATTGTCTATCAATGCCTGACTGGAAAGGCGCCATTCTACGCTCAAACGCCCAACGAGCTAAAGTTCTACTACGAGCAGAATGCCAATCTGGCTCCCAAGTAAGTTTTAGTTCTCAAAGCCCCGGGTCGAGCGACCTGCTTAGCTTAAGCTAACTTAGCGAAAAGAGATGACTACCACGGGGAAACCCCAGAAGTCACCCAGATGCAATTAGAATACAAATTACAATCAAGCACCTTTTGAGTTCTGTTGCTCAGACTCTCTAAAGAAAGATAAACGATATCTGACTATGCATTTTTTTTAGAATACCGCATGGCGTGTCGCCGGACTTGCGCGATTTGTTGCTCTGTCTGCTGCGTCGTAATTCTAAGGATCGCATATCCTATGAGAGCTTCTTCGTGCACCCTTTTCTGCAGGGCAAGAAGGCTGCCGTGTCGCCGGGTAATTTAAAATAAATAAAATAAAAAATGAAGTTAATCCTTACTAAATCCATGTTTAAACAGTCGATATGCCACCGCTGTCCAGCGGCACGCCGCCCGCCAAGGCCAAGAGTCCGCTGCAGCAGCAGATGGAGCAGGAGTTGCAGCTGGTTAAGCTGGCCGAGCAGCAGCAAAAGGAGCGTGAGGAACAGGAGGCGGCAATAGAAGAGGAGAATACCGGTAGGCTAAAAGTGATAAAACAAATTGATCTGTGTGAACACAAATCTAAACGCTCGAACAATTGCAGTCTCTGTGGTGGCCAATCCGGCTATTTGTGCTACCATTACAAATGTGGGCGTGCTGTGTGATAGCGAGAACAACAGTGGCTCCTGCAGCTCTCATGAGGATTCGGATGACTTTGTGCTGGTGTCCAAGAATCTGCCAGAAGATCCACGTCAGGGTCAGGGCCATGCTGTGGCTGCCCAGCCACGTCAGCAGCCAAATCAGCAGCAACATCAATCCAGTCCACCGCGTCCCAGCAGCTTGCCCATTTCGGAGCCGAAGCCAGTGCCGGCGCCGGCGCGTCGTCAGCTGCCAAATGCCGTTACTGGTGTTGCCGTTGGCTCTCCTGGCAGACAGGGCGGCATACCGTTGACAGTGGCCACTCTGGCGGCTGCAGGTCATCAAATTCCCCGGTCGCAGCCGATAAGCGTTAAGCATCCGCGCGCGGATCAGCGGAAGAGCAGCGTTAGCAGCGACATCAATTCGATTTCACCGCCGGCCGTGCAGTTTGCAATTGGCACACCGCCAACCCGGGTGCGTTCCGCATCTGGTGGCTCGCTGTCGGAGACACCGCCGCCGCATGCGCCAAGCACATGGCAAGTATCTCCCGGACACTCTCAGTCGCCGTTACGCCGCAGCGGCAACAGTTCGCCGGTGCTTCCGTCCGCAGCGCTGACTAAATTGCCAACGCTGGGTAGTCCCACATTGCTAGTGGCGCCGGGCTCACTGGGCTCGATTGGTTCCGCCGGCAGCGGCTCAGAGAACAACAATCAGCATCATATGTTAGGACCGCGTGCCTTTACACTGCCCGAACTGGGCGCCACCGGCGGCCTACAGAGCCTCCTGGATACGGCCGGCGGGCCGGGCACTGAGCCGCATGCATTCCAGGCACCAGAACTGTCTGAGGAGACACTGATGGATCGCGAGCACAACGAAACACTCTCCAAGCTGAACTTTGTGCTAGCCCTCACCGACTGCATTCAGGAGGTTGCCGATTCACGCTGTGCGCCGCTCTCCACGCTTATGGTTGCCGGCAGTCAGACAACCACCGAGCCGCATCAGATTCCACCCCATGCCCCCGAGCACTGCAAGAGAGCGGAGCGTTTGGTGCTACTTGTGCGCGCCCTGCAGCTGCTTTCGTCTGGCCTTAATTTAGCCTCGCAGCAGCTGCGCAACGGACAGCTGAAACCGTCATCGAACGTAAAGAACGGTTAGTGAAGCAAATGCGATTCCCGATTAAATCTAATCCTCTCTTCTGTCATCTGTTGCAGCGCTGCTCACTATGAACGCCAAATATCGCAGCATTTTGTTCGAATCGAAGCGCCTTAATGGGAGCGGCCTCCTCCAGAAGGCAAATGCATTTAACATAACAGCGGATAAAATACTCTATGACTATGCGCTGGATATGGTAAGTGTATAGCGAAGCATCCAACTAACTCGATATTATACAAACCAACGCTCTTTCGGTCGACTTTGCAGTGCCAGACGGCGGCCCTGGATGAGCTGCTGAAAAACACCAAGAACTGCTTTGAACGCTACAACACGGCACACATATTGCTTCACTCCTTGGTGCAAAAATGCAATCATCCTCAGGACAAAATGCTGTTGAATAAGTGTGCGTTAAAATTGGTCGTTCGTCTTATTCAATTATTTATAATAATACACTATATTTACAGATCGCGATGCCGTTGAAAAACGCTTGAGCATATTGCAACAGCATGGCTACATCTATGTAACCGATGAGAACGCCTAGGGAGCAAACTGGATCCATTCGTCGATAATTCCTTAAGTTATTTAACCCATTCAAGTTGAGCGTACAACATGTGATTAAAGCAAAACTACGAGTACTCTATATTCATACATAAATAGCAAGAAGTAATTTAAATACCTAACAACACAACATTTCAAGTGCAAGATATTAGCAAAGGCTTGGAACGATTTTAAACAGACAGCCCAACTGACAATTGTCCAATGTAAATAGTTTGGAATATGTACGTAGTTTTTGTTTTCCTTTTATTTTTTATATATATACATAATATATATATATATATATTTTTTGTTAAAGCTTATAAATGCGCCTGCGCTCGACGCCCATGTAGTCCCTAAGTTATGAATAATATATAAACAAACACATTACACATACATATACATATATATAGGAATATATGTACGTTTCAATTTATATTATTATGCATACACGAAACAAAAGATAATCAATTAATGTTTATGGGCAAATGCAAGCCAAACTCAGTTTAATCTATGTTTAGAAATTTCATAGGTGCCGGCAACTTTCAATAGGTTTGTTCGCATAGTTCTTATGTCTATATCTATATCTATATATATATATATGCATATATTTTCCATTTAACAATTTTCATCTAGATATTGCTTTATAAAATACGCATATTTATGGCTGCACTACACAAACAATTTATAATGTGCTACGTTCATAGGTTTTAGTTAGGTTTTCTCTAAAAAACAATCAAAACACAAATTATTAGTTTTATGTCAAGAGTATTTAAAACACACACACCTAAGTTTTTCTACAAAGCCCACAAATTTAAGATCTATGTATATGGATAATATACAAACAAACACATACGAAAGTGTATAAAATAAATGGAAATTAAAAACTAATACAACAAACCTTCAGATGTAAATGATTTTGTGCAAGTTAATATCGATTCAATTCAAAATCAGTCATTTCAATCCTTCGATAAATCCATTATCGGTAGTATCGATAATTATAATCTAAAATATCGAAATAAGCGATAGATTCTTAGCTCTGGTGATAATGATTAACGATTCAATCCTTCGATAAATCCTTTATCGGTAGCATCGATAATGTTAATCTAAAATATCGAAACAATCGATAGTTTTTTAGCTCTAGCGATAATGATTCACGATTCAATCCTTCGATAAATCCATTAAATATTAACTGCTTAGAAAATTCTATTTTGAACACTGTCATAATACAAAAATTTTGTCATAACACCGAGTTAATACTACTATCGGTAGTATCGATAATGGTAATCTAAAATATCGAAACTATCGATAGTTTTTTAGCTCTCGTGATAATGATTCATGTTTCGTGAGCGACTATATAAACTTTCACTTTCAAATTTATCGATAAATGTGGTCATCCTTTAAAACACTAGAGTGGCGCCCAATCAATGTCCGCCGCCGATCGTCGCGGAATCGCCGCCGATCGTCGCGGCATCGCCGCCGATCGTCGCGGCATCACCTGCGGCGGTGACGGTGATCTAAAGGTTCTGATATCACACTGCGACGGACGATACGGAAACTGCGGCGCCCGATAGTAAATTGGACCGGAATGAATCGGAGTTAGTGGTCTTCTGGACGATGGCGGCATGGGCGGAAATCCGTGGAGACTATTCACCGCGTACTGATTAAATCCCAGCCAACGCTCGTAGAGCTCTTGGACCTCAGGCTTGAATGGCGTCATAGCTCCGGCCACGACACGGTCATCACTAGGCCTTTTCGATGAGTTTGGTGAACCCTTTTTGGGAGATTCTACCTTTGGGCTAGCGTTCGATGATTGACTCTTTGGTAAGGGGCAGGATTGGGAGCAGCATTGGGGACAGGATTGCTGGCAGGGTTGCGGGCAGGGTTGCGGGCAGGGTTGCGGGCAGGGTTGGGGGCAAGAGCTGCAGGAATTAGTACAGCAGCCTTTGCAACAGCAACGATTGCGCCAATAATAACAACCCGTACAGGGATTATAATAACAGCATGGCCTGCAACAGCAACCAGGACTGCAGCAAGAATTGCAACAGTTGCTGGACACGTTACAGCTTTCCTCGTCCTGTTCTTCTTGTGGATCCTCACCGTTTTCCTGAATGCTATGAATAAAATTGACAATGAGCAAAGGTACAGAAACCACAGTTTGAGACTTACTCTCCGCTGATGACTGTGTTGCAGCCACAGTTGCGCGTCGGCTTGTTCGATTTTCTAGCAGCTTTTTGTTCAATTTCACTGTCTTTGCTCGTTCTTGATGAAATAGTTTTCTCATTTTGTTGCTTGCCATCGGGTTGCAAAGATTCGTCATTGCCCTTGTTGGCCATTGTAATCGGCAGCAAAAGATAGCAATTTTCCGGTGGTCGCGAAACTTGCAGGGACGTGCAAATGCTGCCAAATAGAATGTCTACATGAGCAACGTGACCTCAGAGAGGGGCTATTTCACTATGTTTTTATATATTGCCAGCATGTGTGATGTGTTCTATTGAAAACTATCAGTTTTGACCTGACATATAACTCACCGCTCGACGAGATCTGAGCTCGCATTACAGCAATTGACAATTTGTAGTTTCTTGTTGCTTTTCTCCTTACTCTTACTATTGGGCTGCCTAACCTTGTCCTTGTTCCCTTTGTTGTCGCCCTTTTTGGCTTTGTCCTTGGTGATGGTAGTTGTCGTTGTGGAGGCGCCTGCATCACACGGACATTCCGGCAATGGAGGACTTGGAGCACAGCAGCATGAACCTTGGGAGGGTTTTTGGCAACATTGATTGAAATTTGGGTATAAATAGGGACTCAGGCTGGGCAGTGGAACTATTGGACACATATAAGGCATATATGCTGCTGGCTTGGCCGGACATTGACATTCTAGGCCTGTACAAGGATCAAACTGGGGACTTGTCCTGCTGGGTAATCCAGCCGCTGGCATAGCTTCAACCCGTTGTGGTTGTTCCACATTCATGCTTGAAGGATCTATCCCTGCCATAAAATCAGCGCCAGGTATATCGTTTCCTATTCCAATAGGTGGTACGGCAGATGCTTGCCCCAACGCAGGATTAACTCCTTCAGGTCCGTGAGTAGCAATCATATTTGCATAGTCTGTTTTACTCATTTCGCAAGCATTTTTACACACTTCGTTCACCAGATCACACGTATCAACACCTTTGTCTACACATTTACACTTCTTGGACTTTTCTTGGACCTTGTCTTTTTTAATAGGACAATTGCAGGCTTTTGGTTTTTTCTCCTTTGTTTTTGTTGTGCTAGAAAATCGATTGCACAGAAAACTTGGCGGTATCATATTTGAGAATTTCGTCTCTTGTGCACCCGCCGATCCCGAACGACCACAATCCAAAGTCTTCGGGAAGCTAAAAATCCATTGATGGAGATTTGGTTTTAATAACTATTACAACAAAATTCACTTACCCATCATTGCAACAAGGATAACAGTTTAAAACACTTAAAAAAAATTAGTAAATATTACAAATTTAATGGTCGAGTAACCAGAGTAAGAGGACTCACTTCTCCGTACCACAGGTACACATTTTAAAAGGGTTTTGTCCACTTAAAAGTTCATCGTTAAAAAATACACATATAATTTAAGATAACAATAATTATTTGATGTTTAGATCAGGGTTCAGTTCCATAATGATATAGATTTTATGTGAACTTCTAATAAAATGAACAACGCAAAAGTAGATGATCAGTGGCTCAGTTGATCAGTGATCACTTGATCAGTGATCATTTTATATAAAGTTTCTATTCATAAATTAAATACAATTAGAAAAGATTACAGCATCAATCTGTGCTGTTTCAAGATACTAAACTTTATTTCTTATAACTTTAAATTTATTTAATGCTCTTCTATAAAATGAAAATATGCATTGTTAAATAGAATTAGATTAACTCTAGGTCAGCCCTAAAGACATCTCCAATTGTTCCTCCGTCCCTATCTTAATATGATTTTAATTAATTTATATTTTCGTATATTCTCCACAAAATAAGTACATATATCTTTATCCTTTGCTGACAGCACTCGAAGTTTTCTAAATATCGATGAATATTTATTATTATTATCATCAGAGAGGTCTTTTGACGTATATCTCTATTTGGTAGTTCGGTTCACGGATATCTGTTTAACTCCTCCAGTAAAAAGTTTGCGTCAGCCGAAGCTGGAGATCTCCACAAGAGATGATTCTTTTAATAGACACTAACTATTCTGCGTTTGACATTTAACAATATGCTGATATCATTTATTTGTTTTCGACAAATCAAGGCTGTATATTGAAATTTTGGAACATGTTGACAGATAAATTTGAACGGAAGTATTGTTAAATTTGGTTGCGTGCGCCCAGCAAAATGCGCAAAAATGTTAGCCCAGGTGGAGCAAGGAGTAGCAGCCCGATGTGGTACACTGCGGCAGCGGAGTATGCACAGAAATTGCGTATGTCCAATCCGATGGGCCCCAGGTTTAGTCAGTCGGCGGGCAACAGCCGGGCTCCAATGAGGGGCTTTAGTGGGCAGGGAAACAGATTGCTTCCGGCACAGAACTCTAGTGGGCCTTCGCAAAATAGAGCCAGGGGCTTGGAGAGCAGAAGTAACTCCATTAAACGGCGTCGTCCGCGTAACTCAACGAGAAATGAATTTTTGGCAACGCCGTCCAGTATCCGAACGACCACCCGCTCAGCTTCGCCTCACGTGGTCGATATGCAGATACCACTTCACAACCTGACGGATCCTTGGCACAAGAATAATACCAAGGTAACAACAATGATGGAGGCTCGGAACAGCTATGACTTTGCTGCCAATTCCGATGAGGACAACGAAGACAACGAGACCAAAGAGGGAAATTATACTGTGCGTACGCGGATGTTAAAAGGCAAAGGATCCAAGCATTTTCTACAAACCAATATGTCACCACTTATTATGGTGGAGCCAAATCCAAAGAGCAGTTCGCCTTCAAAAACATCACATGTCCGAAGGAAACATCGCACTTCCACCTCCCAATTGCCAGATACCAGAAGTAGTACCAATCCGGCGAACATTGAACAGCAGCAGGCGCCAGCTGTAAGCGATCCTGTGGTGCAAGACGATGTCGGAGCAGCTGCTGCTGTTGACGTGAGAGAGGGCGGGACAAACGAAGAAGCAGCTGAAAATACAGCGACGAAGAATAACGATTTGGATGGCAAGCCATCGAGATGCGATTGCCCAACCTTTCGTGGCGAATATCCATTGCGTCGTTGCTCCGACGGCAATGTTAATGATGTGGTGAGTCCGGGCCGAGATGATGACTGTGAGAACTTGGTTACGGCCTGTGAGGTAACAGAGGCGCACTATATAAGGTATGTTTTTTTGAATCCAAGTTCCTAGGTAAATGTTTATGACGGTTTTTTTTTTTGTTGTGTCGTATAAGCTATGACTGTGATGAGCTGAACTCGGCGGTCGGAAATGATTTGGATTTGCAATCTCATCAGAGCAACTTCTGGAATGCCGCACCACAATATTATCTGCCGGCATTCATCTCGCCGGGTCAACTGGGAAAAACAGCTTGCATGGAGAAGAAACAGTCGACAAAATGCGCTGCCAAAAAAACCTGCGCTTGTCAGCAGCCGCAGCAAGGAAACCGAATGAATCGAAATAATTGTACCTATAACAATCGTGGCATTACCTGGAACAGGCCGCCCTGCCGGCAACAGCAAAACCATGGCTATCCGGGCCAACAGATGCACCCCAACTCCTGCTATAGCATGTGCAGTCATCATCAGCCAATGCAAGTGCCCGTCCGGATATCGACACATTCCTGCCAAAGCGGTCTAACCGAGCTGTTGGCCCAGCAGCTGCAGAACCAGATGCAGCAGGCGCAGGTCCAAATCGCCCAGGTTCAAATGCAATTGAGCAATGTCTGCGGCTCGTCCAAATTGCAGCACACGCCGGCTCTGCCCCATAATCTAACAGGCTGTGCGTTGAGCAATGATTCATCGCGGGAGATCACAGGCGATCCGGAGCCGTGCTCGGATGCGGACACAGAGAACGATGCTGCCTTGCCAGCGGACGTCGAGGAGACACAGCAAAGACGTTCGGTACAGTTTCCGGCAAAAGATAATGCCTTAGCCCCCGTGGCAAATGCGAATGGGACAACCGAACAGCAGCCGTTGATGGTGTCTCCGACATCGCCAGCACCACTGATGAGCCTTGGAATGTATACAACCATGCCCGATGCACAGAACCAACAACGCTATCCACAGCAACAGCAACAGCAACAATATTCAATGCAGTTGCCACTACAACAATATCTAATGCAGCAGCCGCAGCAGCAGCAGCAGCCGCAGCAGCAGCAGCCGCAACATATGCATTCACTACAGTTTCCGGGGAATTGTTATCGACAGCCCTGTTGCCGGCAGCGCTATGCCCAGATGCGCTTCATGATGCCGCGCTGCTGGCAGGGCCACTAGAGAGTATCCTCCGCAGAGTATTTATTGGCTTTACCCAAAGGAGTTCGTAAGGTAACGTGCCATGTACAGTGAAACAAGGAGTGCACAACAGCGACCTTATGTATAATGTACGGTACATTACAAACTCGGTTTATCTATGGAGAGTTTTAACCAGAGTTGAGCTAAATCCAATTTGGTCAATGCTTCCGTTTCAAGTTATAATAGTTGCATTTTATTATATTATATATAAGTATATATGTATTATCAAAATTGTCAAAACATTAATATGATAAGCTCTCAGAAAATATTAGTTTCTAATATGTAGTATATGGTTCTTGGTCTTAAGACTAATCCATTGGGAAAGTTGGGAATTTCTTAAAATTTGTTTGTGAACTGAATTTGTTGTCAATCGTAAAAATAATTTCACATTATTCGGCGCAAAATTTTAAGTTTTTCCCTCGAATTGTGAACTTTTTGCTTCCCGAATGAGATTGACGACATATTCCGTTTAAATTACAGATTTTTTATTAAAAAAATAGAAGCAATTTTCACAACCGATTGATCGAAATTTTTAATAAAAAATGTATAATTTTAATGCAATGTGTTGCTGTCCAAATAGACGCTGTAACTGCGCCTTCTGTTGCCGCCATAATATGGTAACAAATACGAGAAATAGATGTGAATGCCGAAATTATACCAGCGAAATGAGTCAGGAGTCCATCAAAATAATACATAACATTTCGACTAAGCAAAAATGGCAAGAGGATGGTGCCACGTCAAGTGTCACGTCTCGGACAGGATATCCGTACTGTTTAACACACTGCGAATGCCCAGCAAATAATCGAGTAGATGAGAGAGGAGAGGAGACTATATCGGCCAATGGCTCTGGGCTATTGACGCCAGTTGGATCTGTTGAAGCATCAAATAAATCTAAAGTCTCCATGTCATCTAAATCGGCCGCAGTGCCTGCTCAGGTTAGCTCAGGTCCGATGACAATCCCAAGCGAATCTATGGATGGTCCGAGAAGTGCCTCGGTGTCTTCCAAGTCGCCAAGGGAATATCAAAGAGACAGCAAAACAGAGACAACGTCTGAGGTGTTATCGCCAATGGGATCAATTAAATCGAAAGCCTCTGTAATGTCTAAGCCGGCGGGGGAGGTACCTCAGAGTAGCGCTGTCCGCACTTCAGGCTCAAGTCAAAAAAGAGACTCAGTGACATCCAAATCTCTAAGGGAATATCCAAGGGGTAGCCAAACGGACGCCGTTTCGAGGGAAGGCTATAAATTGCCTACGCCAACAGGATCCATTGCAGGGCCAATTAAAAGTAAAGCCTCTGTGTCATCTAAAACGCGCGGAGAGCTTGCTCAGGATAACTCTGGTAGATCTTCTGGATCTAAAAAGTCCTCTACGGATAGCTCAAAGACGTCATTACCTTTGGAAACGATTGGTGGTTCACCTAAATCTAAAGCCTCAGCATCGCCCAAATTAAGTCGAAGAGTCAGCAAAACGAAGGATGCTTCGCGAGATGGCTCTAAGCTTTTAACGCCAATCGATTTCACAACAACATCAACTAAATCAAGAGTCTCTGCAACGTCCAAATCGCCGCGAGAGGCAACTCCAGTTAGCTCCGCACGCAGCTCAAGGTCTACTTCGTCATCGAAGAATGGAGCAAAGCTGGGGTCTCCGGCTAGGCTAAGTCTATCATCACCCACCGAGTTAAGTCCCAGGCATTCAAGGTCCACTGCGACTTCTAAGAATGGGGCAAAACTGCAAGATGATTTCAAATTGGGGTCTCCGGTTAGGCTAAGTCTATCATCACCCCTCGAGTTTACTCCACAGCTTTCAAATGAGCATAGTCCTAAGTCGAAATTGATCAGAACTGCTGCAACCGGAGCAATGTCAAACTCATTGGCAACAAGCTTTAAATGTCCTCCATCCTGTTCCGTGGACTATAATTATCTGAAAAAACTAATTGCACCGTTAGAAAGAAATGAAAGAAAACAACAGCCAACCAAAATCCCAAAACTGGAACCTACCAAAGGTGAGAAGGTGTTGGAGAAGGTCAAGCCAAAGAGGAAGTTGAGGAAGTCGGTGAAGCGAAAACGACCACCTCCTGAAGCCCAATCCCCAGTTGTTTCTGAGTCGAAGCTCGAGCAAAACCAAAACCAAAACCAAATCCAAAATCAAAACAACAATGATATTTGGTGAGCATCACAGTTTTTGCTATTTTCAGTTTTGATTTATTTTTATTAATTCCCTCCTCCTGTAACAGGTTTGACTGCAATGTGCCCATACGCGTTAGTATACCCACAACAGTATGCTTTGGAAACATTTGGGATCTTTTGCCGTGCACTTTGATGAATAGCATGAATAGAAGCTTTTCCAAAATGGGTAGCATAACAGAAACACAGCCCGATCCCGACATCAATGCCTTGGTCAAGTCAGGTCACAACCTGCAGCAGGCTGCAGCAAGGACACCTCCATCACCAGCTGAACCCTCTTGTAAGTTGTGCATAACAATGCGTTCCATGGGCTATGGCCCGCCTATGCTAGCGCCTGTACTCGTCCCGGTGCCGTCTCCTCCAGAACCCGTGCAGCCACAGTGCCTTAAAAATATAAACCAAATGAGCAAAATGGTTCAGGTGTCGCCTACTGCAGAGCCCGGGCAGCCACAGTGTCTGGAAAAGATAACCCAAAATAGCCAAATGGTTCAGGTGCCGTCTTGCGAAGAGCCCGTCCAGCCACAGGCTCTTGCCAAGATCCCCACAAAGAGAAAGGTGATCAAACAGAAGATAATGCCATCACAGCTGAAAATGTGCAAAATTTGTTCCCCAACACAAACCACGCCAAATAATTCCAATTCACAGTATAGCAGTGATAATTCCAATAGTAAATATTCGATGTGTAGCAACAATTTGTCTGGACGAAGAGCTCCACCAAACTCGGCTTTTACGTTGGCATGCAAGAGAGCAGGCGCCAAGCGCGATGGGTTGACTGCCAGTAGGGAGAATGACATAAACGATGCCTTTAACAGAAAGCAATTATATCAAAATCGTTCGCAATTTAAAAACATAGCTACCTCCCCTTTACTGCCGTGCAGCAGAGTAACAATGAGGTATAGAACTCCACCCGAGTCAGAGATGTCGCTCCAGCGCGAGGTTACCAAACGGACAACATCGAAGACCCTCTCCTGGAATACCAATGCACACAAACCCGTCGAACACGATACCTTCTACTTTGACGATGCTCCCATTTGCGAAAGTTATTCCGAAAACAGCCAATTCCCTTTATTCAACAATGTATCGCAGTTATCATCTCAATTGGTGGAACAAAAACAAAATTGCTACAATTATAGAGACTTTCAGGATCTGGAGCAGGAAAGCAAGGCAAAAGCAAATACAAGAAAGAAATGTGTGCGCAGTTCCATGGCTGGTTTACCACCATTAAGGAATTTTCTACCTTCTATTCAGGGTAATTGCAACAACAGCATGGTTACTTTTGAAAGTTCTATGGACCCTAACGAGAAGAGTATGCCGAGTTCAATGTATGATTATTCAATCACGGATGGTACGGAAATGGAATCAGCACAGAGCGAATTCGCGTGTAACTGCAAATCTTGTCGAAGAACCTACCAGGATTCGACCTCAGAGCAGACCATGGCGAGTTCATTCAATAGGGAGGATCCTAAAACCTATTCGGATAAGTCAACCTGTGTTCGATCGTATATTCCGAATGCTGTAGCTCCAAGCTGTGTGCATCAAAAACGAAGCAATACCAATCGTCCACAAGCGAAGCTTGAAAGTATAAATTCCCTGCCGATGCAGTGCACAGAACCATCGAAAGATACCGAGTTTGAAACCATATCAATAGAGACACATGCTCTTCAAGATCTGTTAGCTTCCATTCGAGTGCCAGCTTTAGATGATGAACAGAGCCAAGCTCCAATGCCCCAATGTGTTTGTTATAAGAATAAATATGACCCCAATAGCCGAGTGGACAGAGTCGATGAACAAAAATCCAATGCAACCGATGAAATCAGCATTAAATGTTCAAAGACTGATAGAAAACGAATTCCTTCCCCTTCAACGAACAAAATATCCGAGAATTCGCCGCAGGCAACTGCCACAGCTAACAAATCCTCCGAAGAGTCGAGGAAACTGTTAGCTGATCTGGCCAACACTAACAGCTCGAACTGTAGGTCCAGGCTATCCATTACCCAAAGCATTTTAGAACTTATTATGGAGGCAAACAAAAGGCGTTTCAGTGGTACGAATGTGGCGAAGACAATGCCATCTCTTAGTGCCTCGGACATCAGCACATACTCCGTTCATATAAGGAAGTGCTCGTCGCCCCAAATACAAGAACTAGCCAGTGAGAAGAGCTTGAATAAATCAATGAATAGTGCTCAAGATTCCACACTCGATCAAGTGCAAGATCATTGCACAACCGCAACCTGCCCCAAATATCTGAGGAATAAAGAATCAAATATTGATTCACGTAAAAGGCCGTACGCTTATGGCCCAATAAATGACAAGGTGCGTCGAAAGAATCTCAAATTGTGTCTCTTGAAACAGGACGACAGTAAATTTCTCCCAACCTTGGAGGAATATAAGGTGACGGCGTACACACGCGTTTCCAAGAAATATTCCTTTCAAAAAGGAGGCAGAGATTTCGAGTGCGATTCGAATGGCAATTTGAAGCTGCATCGTTTAAATGAAACAAATATTGCTAATATAATGGAAGATCTTAAGAAATTTTGTCATCGTATGCCCACGAAGTAAGTACCTATTGTTAAAGCAAACATTTTCGACATAGATCCCATTTAAGTATTATAACATATAACTATCTGAAATAATATTTTTATGTAAGCCTATTATTATACCCTTGCAGAGGGTATTATAGTTTGGTTGTGAAATGTGTAACGCATAGAAGGAGCCATCTCCGACCTAATTAAGTATATATATTCATGATCAGTATCAACAGCCGAGTCGATATAGCCATGTCCGTCTGTCTGACCGTCCGTCCGTCTGTCCGATCTCCGTTTCGTTTTTTTTCTCTTTAAGACTTAATAATTGGTGTGGCAGTTGGGTAGAGGCGACGGCAAGTAGTGCGGTAGGTTGCGAGTTCGAGCCTTGCCAAGGTAAATTTTTTTAAATTTATCTTTATCACTAGCGCGAGCTGCATTTGCTGTACGAATTAAAGGATTCAGGGTATCCCCTAGTCGGGAACTCCCGACTAGAGCCTCTTTCCTGTTTTTGAACTAGAAATTGCAAAGTAGTTCTGATTTTCTTTTTATTTGCAGGGGTAGGGGCAGGCCCAAAATGCCGGTTGTACTGATGCCTTTTCAGCAGCAAGGCAATCGCTTTGGGACAATGATCACCATATGCCAACCAGATGAATGGTAAGAGAGCATTTAATTAATTAATAAGTAATATAAGACATAGCTTAAATCCAAAAATAACAGGCGAGAAATCGAATTGTCACTGCCAAGTATTCCGGGCAAACGAGTAGCCAGCAACAAATCGCCATGCGGCTTTTGTCGACCAACTCAACACTGCACAGATCTTTCCCAGCCAGCTGAGGAGTCAGTTGTTTGTCCTAAGCGCTCAAATAAAAAGAAAATAGTCGGGGGAGCAAAGTCCAATCGCCAAAAAGCCGAAGACGAAGCCAAAGCATTCATAAGAGATAGGCTAAACCGCTCTCAATCACCGAAAACTGAAACGCATAGAGAACAAAATCGTACAGAATATAAGAAACCTATAAAGTCAAATCGTGTTCCACATCCCAAAAGAGACGTGCGAGACACTCATGTTCCCGAGACGTCCCACAAGGCAAGAGTTACTTCAACCCGTTTTGAGTCCCATAAAAGAGGCTCCCCTCGCACCAATGAGAGACAAGCTAATGGAGCACAGGTCAATCATCGCGCATATACAGTATCTGTAGCTGCCCGACAGCCCAAAGGCCAATTTACGGCGCCTCGATCCGAATCTACTAAAAACGGCGATTCCCGCCCAGTTGCAAGACAACCCTGTCGACCACAGAATAATTACAAGGAACCTGGAGTAAGGTGTATTTGTTGTAGGTGTAATTGTAAGACTGCCATTAAAACCAGAGATGCTTTAAAGTGCTGTGGAGGACGTCCTCCCACTGACAGACAAGTTCAGACATCAAAGAATAATCGAGCACAACCTGAAAAAAAGGTAGCCCCCCCTAGCCCCAGAGACGACATCAAAGCATTCCCAGAAGCAAAAACTATTTCCAATCGTCCTGAAGCTTCCGAAAGAGATTATTCTCGCACAGACGAGGGCATAGCACAAAATAATGAAATGGAACCTGAAGTTTTGGTAGAGTTGAAAGCTGTTTCGCCAGAGCTGAAAGCTGCCCCAAAGACAAGAAGTTATTCCAATCGTTCTGAAGCTTCTGAAAGCGATTATTATCGCACAGACAAAGGTCAACCTCAAAATAATAAAGTGGAATCTGAAGTTTCTTTAGAGCTGAAAGCTGACCGAAGTAATTCCAATCGATCCGAAGCTTTTGAAAGCGATTATTATCGCACAGACGAAGGCCAAGCACAAAATAATGAAGTGGAATCTGTAGTTCTAGTACAACTGAACCCTGCCCGAAAGTCAAGCAGTAGTTCCAATCGTTCTGAAACCCCAAAAAAAGGTTATATGCGCACTGATGAAAGCCACGCCAGTAAATCAGAGAAAAGTCGTCTAATAGCAATAGATTTCATTCATCCCGAATACAAATTCGAAGCGCCGCCAAAGCAAGAATTTATCCCATACAGTTCCAGCAATGAAAGCAAAGTCGAGTCTCCGGAAATGGGAAGCCGTATTAGTTCGGAGGTAATATATTGCACAAGGAAAACATGCCCATCGAGGTGCCGCAGGTACACACAATACAACAATCGGAATGTGCCTGAGGTAGAGTATAAGGACCAGGAATTTATTCCAAACAGTTCCAGCAATGATACAAAGCAATCATATAGATCACGTTCCAAAGTCGAGTCTCCGGAAATGGGAAGCCGTATTAGTTCGAAGGTATGTTATTGCACAAGGAAAACGTGCCCATCGAGGTGCCGCAGGTACACACAATACAACAATCGGAATGTGCCTGAGGTAGAGTATAAGGACCAGGAATTTATTCCAAACAGTTCCAGCAATGGTACAAAGCAATCATATAGATCACATCCCAAAGTAGAGTCCCCGGAAATGGGAAGCCGTTTCAGTTATTGCATAAGAAAAAATTGCCCTAAGAGGAGCCGCAATAGGAATGTGCCTGAGGAAGAGTATAGAGTGCAAGATTTTATCCCAACCAGTTCCAGCAATGAAACAAAGCAATCATATAGATTAGTTCCCAAAGTCTCGTCCTCGAAAATCGGAAGCCATATCAGTTCGAAAGTATGTTATTGCACAAGAAAAAAGTGCCCATCGAGATGCCGCATGTACACACAATACGACAATGGGAATGTGCCTGATGAAGAGCATAAAGAAGTCGTCGTACTTATGGAAGTGCGCCCTTTGCGCAGCTCCAGCTTAAACGCACCGCGGAATGAACCCTTATCTCCATACAGGCATAGAGCGGTTGTTCCTGAAAATAGGGGCCAAATATTATATGATTTGAGCCGAAACTTCGACGTGCAACCTTCAGCAAATTCGACGTCCTTCGATTATTCAAATCGGTCGGTAGAGCAGCAGCAACAACAACAACAGCAGCAGCAATTCTTATGGGATCGACAGAACCGGTATCTCAGTGAATTGCAAAATTTTGCACCGCCACAGATGCAACCACTGCCGTACCAACAGAGCTTTAGTCAAAACAATGGCCGTACAATATTGCTGCAGGACTTCCACCCAACACAACAATATGACGAACAACAGCAGCAGCAGCAGCCACAGTTCCAGCCACAGCCTCAGATCCAGCCACAGCCACAGCCACAGTTCCAGCCACAGCCTCAGATCCAGCCACAGCCTCAGATCCAGCCACAGCCTCAGATCCAGCCACAGTTGCAGCCACAGCCACAGCCATATCAGGAATACGTGCAGGCTGATGTTGAGCCACAAATGCAATATGTCGAGGAAGCGGATAATGTTGAGCCTCAGTATTTGAATAATTTCGAAGCAAGCGCAGCAACAAATGATGCAACAATGCCGCCAGCAGCACCAGCTGTGATGATGCCAAAACTAATCAACCGGGCACCAGGGCAATGCTACCCAGATAGATGCTGTCAATATCAGAGAAACGCCAGAGCTTTGCGCGAAGATATGTACCAGCAAACCCTGGCCAAGTATGGCATAATGCGGATGCCAGGCGATTGCCCCAGTTCCAGGGCGCGATGCTGCGTTTCAGACTGTCCGCGTCCATGCACTGGACAAGAAAAGGGGCATCAGAAGCAGCAGCATCAGTTGAGGAGAAATCTGTAATAAATCTTTCCAAATGCCCAATTTATCAGTTTAAGCTTTCGGATCTAGTTTGGTTTATTGTGGCAAATGTAATTTGTAATTTACTTTCTGGCCATCTTTTGGGGCCAGGCCATAACGGAGGTGTAGCGGCTGATGCGCTTGGTCAGCAGGCGTGTTGGCATTGCGGACGTGGTGGGCTTCAGTACCAGGCAGGTGCGTCCAAAGCGCGCCATGTAGACCTTTGAGGCTGGAATCGATGCACCCGCCCTGTTGCGCGACGACGGCTGCGGCTGCTGCTGCTGCTGATGCAAGGGCATCTTCTTGGCGGTCTTCTCGTTGGAGCCGAGTGCATTTACCCGTCTGACAGTCAGCTGGGAAGCGCTGGTATGCAGCTCCGAGTCTTCGTGCTCGCTCAGCACACTCGCCTCCTGTGTCCGGTGCTTTCTAGAACGCCCGCGACTCACATGCATCTCGGACGTCGAACTGCGCTCGGGTGTGCTAGACGACGAGCGAGGGTCATTCAAGTTGTTGCCGCCGCCGAGGCAGACAAATTGTTTTTGCTGCTTCTTTAGGTGGTGCATGTGCTGCTGCTGCTGGTAGTCATTGTAGCAGGCGGTGCACGAATGGCGCTGCATGTGGCAGCTGGCGCAGTGTGGGATGTCGTAGGCGGACATGCTGACCGCGGGCATCGGATAACAGAGGCAGGAATTGATGGGCTGCGGTGGCCAGCCTCTCATGGGATACTCGTGTGGCTGCGGCGGCGGCAGCAGCAATGGATGACTGCAATGGCTTGGCATAGCCGGTGCATGGCCAAATCCGAGCGTTGTTTGTGCCATTGTTGGCCTCAACAGGCAGCAACTGCTGCAGCAATGAGCATAAGTTGGTCCTGCAACTGGATGTTGCTGCTGTGCATGTGCAAAATGATGCTGTTGCAGCATCTGCATCTGCTGCTGCTGCTGTTGCTGTAGCAGAAGTTGTTGCTGTTGCTGCTGCCTCAAGCAGCAGGCATAGTTGCTGTCAGCTGCATGCTGGCAGCATTGGCAGTGAGGCGCCGTTGGCATTGGCTGGCCAACAGCCGGTTGGATGTGCGCGCAGCAATTCGCGCAGTTGCTGCGCGGCAATGTTGTTGTTGCTGCTGTTGCTGCTGCTGCTGCTGCTGCTGCTAACAGCAATGGTTGCTGCTGTGGCTGTGCATTGACCGTGGTGGCCGTCTGTGTTGCTGCTGGCACAAAACTGATGGTCACATGTGGCGCAGTGTTGGGCTTGGCACGGGCTGTGCTTGCAGTCTTGGCAGCCACTGTTTCTGCTCGCATCATCTTGTCCAGTTGCAGAGCACACATCTGGCTAAGCCGGCGCAGCGGTGGCGCCGTCATGCTGCTCCGCTTGGCCGCGCAGGCTCCACACTCGGGCGATTTGGCCGTGACATCTGTCGCCTGGCAGCCACGGCTTTGGCCCTTGAGCATGCTCGACCGCATCGCGCACTGCAGCAGAAACTCATCGGTCTGGGAGCCCGTATGGGCGCCTATGTCGCTGGGGGATGTCTGCTGCTCGGCATGATTGTGGCAGATGGCGCGGCCCTGCAGCGTCTGCTCCACACGCTTGCGCACCAGCGCATCCTCGAGCACCACAAAGCTGGGCTTGCCGCGCAGATTCTTATTGTAGATTTTCACAAATCGATCGTGCATCGTCTCCAGGGACTGTGCATCAATGCTGATCATATCGTTGTTGTTGCTGCTGCTGCTCTTCTCCTCACCGTTGGCCAACTCTCCGTCGGAGCTGCCGGCGTTCTCCTCGAGCACCGCTATCCGCAGGCGCTGTTTGCCGCCCCGCGACGACTTTCGGGTTGCATTTCGTATCCTTCGGCTGGACTGCTCCTTGACTTGCGGCTGACTGCCTTCCGGCGGCTCGCACTGGCCACTGGAGCTGACCTCGACCTTGCCATTGTCGTCCACCGTGACTATAAAGCTGCGCTTTCCGTTGTTCTGTTCGGATTTTTTTACGCTGCATGATATAGCGCAATCCTTGGGCACACGCTTTTCTTCAACGGCGGACATTATTTTTTTTTTTAGTTTTTGTGATCCGAAAAGTATTATTTTATTTCTGTTGTTGAGGGCTTACATCTGAATTTAGTTATGGCATCGGGCCAAATAAAGTTCCTGCCTACTTAAACATAGCTTGTACAATTTTCACAACAAAATAGGCCGGAACGAAGTGCTCGGGCGATACAACAACATTTTGTATTATCGATAACATTTCTGGACTTACAATGAGCTAAATTACGTAGATACATATTTCGTAGTAGCTGTCAATCTTTGCTGCCTCGCAGGCCTGGCCAGGCAACGGAAGTGGGGCAAAGTTTGCCAAATTTGTGTTGAAACATTTGAAAAATGTTCTGCACGGAGAGTTGCGAGCACTGCATCCATGCGACTTCATCTGGTCGTATTTTTAGCCCAAAGAAGTCGCAAGTTGTGCAGCACAAACTATCCCAAATCAGGCAGCAGCAACCATCGCAAATGAGGCAGCAGCAGCAGCAGCAACAGCCACAACAGCAACCACATCAACAACAACAACAACAACAACAGCAGCAACAGCAGCAAGAACAACAGCAACAACTTTTCCAACAGCAAATCAGCTACAACTTGGGCTATGCTCCGATGCCAGCGACGGAGTTCGACAATGGTTGCGAGGCAGATTCACCCCAGCTGGGAGTTTGCATTGTGACCGAGGGTCCGGAGGGCTTTAGGTACAGATCCACAACGCTTGCTGGGTGCATTTTTAATGAAATCTCTCCTATCTCTCCTTCAAAGCTTCGACTGCAGTGTGCCGATTCCCAATAGTTTCAATTATGATGCCTTTAAGAATGCGGTTCAATTTATCACGTCGCCTGGCACCAACAACAACATTCGCTTATCCCAGCCGCAGAATGAGTACATGCCGGGCGCCATGTCCCCACAGCAGTATTCAGCGCCAAGGCCAACGCCGAAACAAAGTTCTCAGAATGATTACATGTCACAGCACTATCCAACGGCTAGGCCACCGCTTAGGTCAGCGCTGAAACAAACTAGCCCATGTCCGGATGCCGCCTATAATTCAGCGCCAACCACCGCGGCAAGGTCAGCCAAAGGTTCCAAAATGGATCGTGCTCAGAAGAGGTCATCGCAGCAGCAATGTGAGGTGCTGGCACCTTATAACTACCCCACAACAGCCACGTCAGCGACAGCAAAGCCCCTGCAGATAACTGCTGGTTATGGCTCGGTAGCTCCGATACCTCCGATACCTTCACCATATCCAAATCAGCAGCCGTGCGAATCCTACTGTCCGTTCCAGAGCACGGGGCTCATGCCGATGCAGTGGCAACAGCAACAGCAACAGCAGCAGCAACTGCCGCAACAGCAGCAACTGCCGCAACAGCAGCAACTGCCGCAGCAGCAGCCACATATAATTCCTGATATGCAAGTCCAGACCTTGATGCGCTTTGACTTGCCATGCCGGCTTGTCGAGCTGCAGCCTGATAATGCAAACCCAGATCCAATGCAGCCCACGTTTGTTCTTCAGCTCTTGGCGCCTATGCAAGCATCGGGCTTTTCCGAAGTCTTGCCCATGCCCATGCACGGCACCCCCGAGCAAAATAGAACTGCACCATCAATACCAAAAAATGCATTTGGTACTTCAGAATTTTCCTCTCCAAGAGCCTCACAAAATCCGCCATATCCACCATATCCACCATATCCTCCATATCCAATGACAGCAGCTCTGCCCAAATACTCACCATATAAGAAAGGGCCTGCCAACGGCAATGGAGCTGGGCAGACGGAAAACTCTTTTTCGCATAGGCTATCGGACTATGGAAATGGATCGGGAAATGTGAATGGGAATAGAACTGGAAATGGGAGTGCGCATGGAAGTGGAAATGGTTGTGGTAATGGAAATGGAAATGGTAATGAAAATGGACATGGAAATGGAAATGGTAATGAAAATGGACATGGAAATGGAAATGGAAATGGAAATGGAAATGGGCATACGAAGCATGGACAGAGCAGTAACTGGCTCTGTCCTCGCTGCTCTCATTGGTGCTGCCATCCAGGAGCTCGACAGGGCGACGGCAATAATCACAGATTCTAGAGAAAGTGCTTAAGATATTGAAGAAATTAGGGCACCAAAATGGGAACAACAAAAACATCGCAATTTAAATAAAAATGTATTTAATGCGAAACCATATTTAGAGGAATGATTATCGATAGATTTGACTAATTGAAGCAATTAATTAGGCAACTAAATGAGGCTAAAAAAAAATAATTATAACAAATGAAAAAGTAAGGGGACATTATTTTATTTAAATTATATTATATTATTATTATTATTTATACTTAAATTAGAAGGACCAATAGGGTAGCTGAGCCTGAGACCAAAATATTGTACATAATATTAAGAATAGTTAAAGGTAGTAGGAACAGGTGTTTAATGCAAGATTCTTAGTTTACTCATTTAAAGCGCTTAAATTTACAAGATCACATAAATAAGCCAAGCTAACTAATTAACATGTACTCCGTATTTACGGATTCGTTGACTCCATATCGTTGAAATAATTTGAGACATAGTTGCTTATAAAGGAGGTTATCGCAGTTTGTTCAATTGCCTGATTCACCTGGTGCCTGGCAGTAGAGATTGGCGTTCCCGGTCGTGTAAAATGATGGCTAGCTGGAATGCTACTTGTGGCCGTGGCAGGGGCAAAGCCTGAAAAGTTTGCCCCTCGTGAATACGCCAGGGCATCCGTGTGAGCAGCCGAATGGGTCTGCAGCAGCGGCTGCTGATATGGTCGCGCAGTCGAGAGAATATTGCCAGCTCTGTAATCGATTGTATGCCGACGTCGCATAACACCCCCGCTGCTGCTGCTGTTGCTGCTGTTGCTGGTTGCCACTGGCGGTTGCATGTTGTCCGCGCGATATGTTGCTGGCGGCGGCGCTGGCATCAGTCTGCGCTGCGTCTCCATTTGTGAAGTTGGCGGCAAACGAGTTTCAATGCACGGGGAAAAAGCATCCTGAAAGCACTGCAAACGTGGCTGATACACGGCTGCCGGAAAGCCTCGAAGAAAATGTTGATGCTGCTGCTGATGTTGTTGACTGAAGACGAAATCTTGTTGCTGCAGTTGCAGCCGCTGTTGCTCCTGTTGCAGTCGCAGTTGCTGCTGTTGCTGCTGCTGCTGTTGTTGTGGCAACTGCTGCTGCTGCTGTTGACCGAAAGCGAAATCTTGTTGCTGCTGCTGCTGCTGTTGTTGTGGCAACTGTTGCTGCTGCTGCTGCTGCTGCTGGTGTTGACAATGTTGCCACGTTCTCGTCCGATCATGCAGCTGGCGTTGTTTTTCGGTAATACGTTGTTCCAGGCTGCTTAGCTCCGCCTGCAGCTGTCTCTGCAGCTGATTCTTGTGTGCCTGTAGATGCTCCTCCTGCTTTTTGCTCTCAACCATTTTGTGCATGAAACTTCTGTGGTATTCGGCATGTTGCCGCTCAGAAAGCAGCCGATTGGCATAAATCTCCTTCAGGGTTTTGTTTATATTCTTGAGCTGCTCATCCTGCTGGCACTTCAATTGCTGATACTGTGCATTCAGCTGATGCAGTTCCTTCTGACCCGCCTCCTGAAAGTAATTATGCTGCTGCTGCTGTTGGTGCTGGACTTGAGCTGGTTGCTGTTGCAACAATTGTTGCTGTGTGGCTGGCCGCGAGTACGCGTACTTCTCGAAATGCTGTTTGGACCATTGCTGCAGCAATTCGGTTGGCATAAGCGACTCCACAAAATGCTGTTGTATGTTATCATTTAACAAGTTAATCGCATGGCTGTTGGCGCTTAAATCGGCGGAGTAAAAGCGCGGCAGGATAATGCGTTGCATGAACTGTTGTTGCAAGTCCGTGCGTTGTTCCTCGATTGTCTGACAGCTTGATATGGCCGCTCTATCAGTTGGCATCATACATGGCAAACTTGCAACATGTTGCAAACTTTGAACTGTGTGCTGCTGTTGTTGTGGTTGTTGTTGTTGTTGCTGTTGTGTTTCCATGGTGTGTAGATGCGCGACCTGTAACTCTGGCGATTGTTGCTCCGATACCAATAAATTAACCACTTCCACGGGCTCGTTAGTTTCCAGCTGTTCCTCTGTTGCTAGCACAGGCGTGGGCTCTATCACCCCGCTTGATACTGGCTCCTCCTGCTGTTCCTGTTCCTGCTGCTGCTGAGGCTCTGCGACTGCGTCTGCTGTGGCTGTGGCTGTCACCTCACTAAAAGCCACATGAATGTCCGCATTGACCGATAAGCTTATACGCTTCAAGTTCTCCCTCATGCCCATTTTAATGTCCTGATCACTGCAGTCCGGATTATGCCAACGAAAGATTGGCAATTGTGTCAGCTCCTTATCTTCGGCCAGCATCTGATCCGACTTTGTGGCTCTGCAAGTAATCCTAATTAGTTGTAGATACACATATGTCAAAAATTTGCCTTGCTTACCTCAACTCTGAGCAGGCGGCCCGCTTCAATTGACGCTTAGACACGCGCTCAATCAACTCTTCGGTTCCATCCTCCTCAGACTCGGGCAGCGACCCATTGACAATATCCTCGAGTATGATGCAGCACTCGTCATCGCTATGCAGTTGATTTCTATCCGCATCCAGGTTGGGCATGTTTAGGGCTAAGCTCTCTTCAAATTTGTCACTATCTGGATTGTGCTCGGGAGATGCCTCTCCCCCATTTGATTCCTGCTTGATGCACAACTCTTCTTTAGCCGGATCAACTACCTCGGCAGCCCGGTTCTCGTCCAGATTAAGCACTTCTGGCAGTAGCATTGGCAATGCCTTTGATTTTCTGGTTTTTCTCCTTTTCATTTGCTGGGCAACAAAGCGCGCACGGCCCGATCCGACGGGAAACTTGAGCATTCGTATGCAATAGTCACTGTTCCGGCTGATTTGATCCAGAGAGTTCACAGCCGAGTGGTGTCTACGCTGGTGCAGCTCACCGCGAGCCAGCTCCTTGGGTATAAACAGATCCTCGTTGCAGTAGACACTGGCCCGACGCTTCTTTGTTTCCGCTCTAGGAAACAGGAATTTGTTAGTATGAAATTCTTTTCCTATTCGTATCCGAGTATTTACATAGAAAGTGAGTGCCTTTCTTCCAGCACAAGTGGCCTATCCTCGCGCTCTTTCAATCGACTCTCTTCCGCCTTGTTAGCTTCTCCAGACTTTATTTCTACTTCTTCGTGCTTACTTCCATTAATTGGATCCGTATCTTTACGACTGCTGCCAAATAGATAATGATATTATAATTGTGTGTGCGATTGCAGAACTTGTATTTACCCAACGCCTGTCAGCTCGATTTTATTTGCTTCATGAGTCGTCGTCTCGGACTCAGACTCAGACTCGGATTTTGAATCGTCCGCGGCCATGTCGGGCTGAAAACTGCTATCACTGGGCTCCATGTGCTTGTCTTTTATAGCGCAAATTGATGTTTATAACAATCTCACTTTTCATAGTATGTGTGGGCAATTCAATTGAATGGCTCCCCGGTTTTGAAATCCGATTTTGTTGACATTAGATTTGCAAAGCTAATGCGGTCCTCAAAACTGGCCTACCGTCACTGCTAAAAGTATACGAAAAAATAACGCAAACTCAACACTTTTTCTTAAGATAATTAATATAAGTATTTGTGTATGATTATGTGTGCCTGTGTATTTATTTTAACTACTGGAACACTTGGCTTCTGCTCCTATTCGTACCTTGGCTTTCCAGCCCGCCAATTGCTTTAATTCGCCCACGTCAGCGTTTTCAGAAGTAGATCAAACTAGATACAGCGGTCTAGTTTCTTAACAAATGTGAAACCATCCTTATATGAAAAAAAATGTATCAAACCAAATTTTCTAAATCCTTTCCCCTGAGTGGGGAATATTATGATATATATGATAAAAAACACTATAAATTCTGTTATCAGAACTATTCTATATTAACATTTTCATTAAAACCACAGGCCAAACTATTGAGAAGATATTTTCCGAAGTTTGTATGAAATCTTGCTTCAAGTATCCACTTATACTCTGTTCCCAAGTTAAGAAAAAGTATATTGGTTTTCGCTCTTCCGTCTGACCGTTCGTCCTGTTCGTACGTTTGTTCATTTATTGTGAAGCTAGATAGTTAAAACATGGAATATGTATTAGAGTAAATCCCCGTCAAAGAAAGTAAACATCATAATATCTGACAGTTTTAAAGCTAGGCTCTTTTCGACAGATTTAATCGGCCATTGACCCGTCAACAGGGTATGGCGTAGTCGGCTACATCCAGTTAATAAATTATGTCTAAAAATATAGACATCATTTTGGTATTCAACTTCACTTTGAATAAATAAAATTCGCTTAAGTCCACAGAGTCTCGTTACTTGAAATGGACGCGTTTTTCTTGAAGATGATGCCAAGTCCAAAAATGTAATCTGAGACTCAAATTAATATGTATGTACATACGTACATAAGTGTTTGGTTTTTTAATTTTTGCGGTCAGTTCCCATCAGTCGGAACTGCGCGATTAGGCATAATTTTGTTTATTTACAATCACGACGCGTAACTCTGAAGTGCAGACAAACAATAAACATAACGTCCCCTTTTGACAGGAGGTCGGTCGCTTGACTTTCGGTTTCGGTTCTCTCGACGAAATTCGAGTTACCCGATGCCAAGCACAAGGCAAGCGTCGTGTTGCACCACCAAAAACTGAATGAATGAATGCAGCAGAGAACCAGCTTGTTCTATTTTATGCACGCATTCGTATGGGTTACGGGAGCACCACCTACAGACCGGACAATTATAGTACAACAAAATATATGAAAAAGCATATGCGCTGGAACCATCCTATAGATGGTTACAGGGTACAGCTATGTTCGTATTACAACACGGGCTCCATAAAGAGTGCTTGTCTAGCGCTAAGGACACGTCAGCGTAGCTCGGTTACGGCAAAACGCCCGCCGTATTTGTACCATATGAATATAATTTCTTCACGCGTAATTGTAATTGCTTTCAAATGCCCTCAAAGGACCTGAGACATGTTAATTTTAAATGAGCTTTGTTTACTCTTCTATTAATAGCTCTTACATATTTGAGTAGCTAAATGTGTCCAGTGCGCGTTCTGAAGATAAGCGATCTGTGATATTATTAATTAATATATCTTGAATTGATCATCTGACAGCCAATGCTGTATAGCACATATATATCATTTACCACTTTGAAAAAATACCAAACTAGCACATATTGTTTTATACATTTATAACCCGTAACTGCACTTGTTTAATTCTGTACTACAAGCCACAAATTTTGGGGCAACATAATTTATAGTTTAAGACTAACGGGCAAGGTTTGTATTTATTTCAAAAAGGCTGCACCATTTATAACTTATCGATTAATCGATAGTCCTCACCAGGTGGCGATTCCGCATAAGCAAAGAGTTGGCAGCTCTTTTCCCTAATATATTTTCATATTCGCGTTCTCTGGTCACATTGTAACTTGAAGAGTAGAAACAATAAGGAAATAACTTAAAACTTGAAAAGTGAAAATAGTGCAATAAATATGGACAAATTAACAACAATTAGTGCCACTCTTTTCATGGCCGCCGATGTGTTCGCTATTGTGAGTCTAGCACTGCCCGATTGGATTATTACAGAGGAAGCTGGTAACCGCATCTTGTTATACAAACACAGGCTTAACAATAACAATTTGTTGTTGGTGGCTTTGCAGGAGACATACGGCTGGGCCTGATGTGGACTTGCATGACGTTGTACAACCGGCCGCAGGTCTGCTATACGCCCGATCTGCAGCCGGAATGGCTAATCGCACTTGTTTGCATTTTCATCGGCTGCATATGCATCACGACGACAATTATACTATTGGCCTCTAGCACTTGGGACCGCAACGTAATTCCATATGCCCGCTGGGTGGGCTTTGCCGCAATGGTTCTGTTCTGCATGGCAGCCGTTGTTTTCCCGCTGGGATTTCACATTGAGGAGATTGGCGGACAGGCGTATCAGCTACCAAATACATTTAAAATTGGCATTTCGTATATAATGTTTGTACTGGCGCTGTGGATAACAGTCGTCTCCGAACTATTTGCTGGCAAAGTGTGTCTGCCCCACTTTTAGAGCGTATTCATTCACAATAGACTTTTGCGTGTATATAGGATCGTAGGATTTAGTTCGTAAGTACTAGTTGTTTTCATTTTTTCTGTGATTTGTTACATGTTTTGTTTTTTTTTTTCGTCCATATATCAATTTACATTTATATATATTATTTTTGAAGACATAAATCCGTCTCGAGACAGGTATTGAAATCTCCTTAGCCCCTAAGTGTATTTACTATTGCGTTTATTTGATGTTCATTTAAACAAATACATTTTCGTCAGGCAGTTACATTTACTCACATTTTAATAAAATATAAATTTGAGACAATCTTTTGTAACGCAATTCGTTTCCGTAACCGTTCTTGATGAACGCTCTAAAGACAACTGAATTGTTCCCGATGCCGCGCCTGCGTTGTGCTAGCATGTAAAGAAGACTGCCTTGAAGAATGTTTTCGATCCAGAAATGCAACGGCGTTGATAAATGCTGAGTTCAACAAAATGTGCTGCCACGTTTTCATTTCAAATTTTGCTGATGGAAGGCACTCGCAATCGGACACCACTTGAAAACTGGCCACTTGACATAGCGAGACTTAAAGGCAAACGACATATTGATTAGATCATCTACATACCAAGCGCATGTTGTGATGTATTCTCAAATCTGATAGTCGCGCTCGTACATCAAGAGCTTGTAATAGTTTTTGGTGAGAGTGTCCTCTTCCAGCCAGCATATAATTGCGAATATGAAGACAACTGTTTGCCAAACGAACTGAAATTTGAAACTAATTAACAAGTCATCGACATTCTCCAGCTGCAGTCCATGTGTGATCAAGTATAGCTCATGATGGGATCGTAGAATCGAGGTGAAGCCTGCTATGTAAAGAAATAACCACAGACTTTTTGAAATCCAAAAAAGCTTGATCATCAAATGCCACAGACGATGCTGAAACTCCTCGGATGCAAATAGAAAACATAACGAATGTATGGTATCACAACCCATGCAGGCCAACACGGCGGCTATTGCAGGCAACGTGTATTGATATTCGCGTTCATGAATCTCCAGAATCTGTTCCGTTCCATAGGGTATACCCAAAAATTTCTTATACTGGCTGGTTAGTGTGAAAGCTCGCTTCGCTGTTATGTTCGCCAGATTCAGAAAACAGAGATACGCGACGAATAGCTTAAATATAAATTCACACACGACTGCGGACATGATTATCCGCAATACCAGCTGTTAAGAGTGTGATTTAAGTTGACGTTAAATTTGTTTTATCAAAAAATAAATCTACAGATATATAACCAATCCTGTTACAATACAGACGTAAAATATACTGAGTCAGGTTGAAAAGACTTGTAAAGCCTACTGAATAAGATTTCCACCAAATTTGTAACATGATTTTCTTGAAGGAGTTTTACAAATCCTCAGAAGAGCTGTTTATGTTCTTCAAGCTGTGGTTTATATGTAAAAAGAAAGACTCCAGCCAAATGATGTATCAATCCACAATTAAATACTCAAGATATAAGACGTTAACAGCTTCGATTGTATATTATTTAATAAATAGTATTTGATAAAATTATTGAGTTGCAATAATCAAATATTTTCTAAATAGCCAAACAACTTGAATCACTTATTATTTTAATTACATAAAAAAGCACTGCAATCTATATATATATATATATATATATAATATGTATGTAACTGTAAGCTGCTTAAAAGTTTTTCTTTTCGTTTATAATATTTTCAACTTCAAATGAATATGTCTAATATATTCGTAAATATTTCGATTATTTGGTGGTTATTTGTAAAATTTTGGTAGCAAATACAAGGATATGCACAGAGTTCAGAGTACTTTTCCATAGGTAAGAAATGATCAGATTGGTTCAAGTCGGAGGTATAGCGTATTTGATGGGATATGTTTTGTTGGGGACCTGCTGAATGCCACATATAAGATAATATAACTCTCAAAGTTTACAATTTTCAAGTGGTTTCCAGCAAAGCCTCTTCTTTTTTCCTTGTGTGGCTCAGTAGAGTCAAGTGCGGCGTTATTTAATTTAAAAAAAAAGTGGCACAATATAAAAATTATTTTTAAAAAATCTACAGCTTCGTAGATAGTTTGTAATGTTCAACATGGGATGAATCATTGTGTTAGAGCTTAAGATGGCACATAAAAGTTAAATAATTGGTGTGTTCCAATAGATTTCGATAGAGTCATCAGGAAATTTCGAGTAGTTGAGTAAAGGACATGTTAGCAAATAGTCGAAGAATCTATTAGAACACACAATAAATATTTTTACTCCCTATATAATATTATTAGTAGTTGATTATTTGTTTTGGGGTGGGCTAATTTGCATTTGTTATTTAACTTTTGTTAATTCTTTTGTATTGATTTGACTATATACTAGAGCATAGTAGCTGCAATATTCTATATAATTATTCGCTGTTTAAGTGAGCTACGCATTAATTAGCCAACAAATTGTGCTACATAACAATTAAACATTAACTAAAACAAATACTTAACAGATAGTTCTTAATGTGCAACGCAAATTAAATGCTTAAAATTCTTGAAATGACTTAAATGAAATATGGTATTCCAAAATAAATAATAACAACATGCCTTAAGATAACAAAATGTTTCTATACATAAATAGCAAATATTAACAACAAATTGCGCTTTTTACTGGACGCATCCAATTACAATTTCCCATCGAATGGTGTCTTTACAAAGTATGTGACTAGATTGCCTTTGCCCTTGACATAGGTGAGGCCCCGGCACTCGCACTCGTATCCGGCGGCCATTAATATCTTAGCTGTGTTTTCCGTTGTCTGTCGAGAGGAAAGAGTTTTAACGAACGTAGAGCACAGGTTGCCTCATTACTGTAACTGTTGTTGCTGCTTACCTGAAGTCTGCCCATAACGCCACATGAGTCCATGCGGGATGCCACATTAACGGTATTGCTCCAGATATCATATTGCGGCTTCTGGGCGCCAATCACGCCAGCAATTACCGGGCCATGGTTGAGGCCGATGCGCAGGCGGAAGCGCTGGAACGATTCGCGATTAATCGAATCCAATATGGACATCAAAGCAATCGCAAACTCAACCAATATGACCACATTGTGCTCCTCGGTGCGTTTCTCATCCTAAACAGAGAGGGGGAAAAAACAAAAACCAAACGAAAATGAACAAAAGTTACATTACTTTGGCTTTTGGGTATTTTTTTTTTTCATTATGCTCCTATTCGCCTTTATTGGCCTGGTCAACCCGCCGCAACGTGAAAGCCAATTGAGCGTATGCTGCCTAAACTTTGGCTAATCCCTGTCCGATAGCAACCCTCATTTGGGATCCTTTTTTTTTCTTTTCTGTTGTGTCCCTCTGTGAAGGGTCATTGTTTGATTTAACTGCTGGGTTTCGGTCCGTGTGCTGCAGGTTTAATTAAACTACTAAGCAGCGATTAAAAGGCATTTAAACAGTAAATAAGATTCTAGCAATTGGAATGGGTCATTTGTTGGCGAAATGATTAAGTTTTTGGGTGGCTAAAATCTCTTAAATGCGAAAATAAAATACGGCAAAAAAAAGACAATATGTCGAAATCCAACTTCTGTTTAATTATAGAATTAAATTTGATATATATTTTATATATCAAAGTCTTTGGAGTTACTAATAAAATTTACTTTCTCCGATTGCTAAGTGGTTTAGTTGTTAAATTGTTGACAAGGCTTTGAAGACTTAGACGACAAATCCCTGTTAAATAATGTGTCCTTAAACTCGAGTAGCTATTATATCAAAACTTTGATAGATTCTTTAAGCAAGCACAATATATATTTAGTTTTTTATACCCTTGCAAAGGTTATTATTATTTTGCCGTGATATGTATAATACATAGAAGGAGACATCTCCAAACCCATAAAGTATATATATTCTAGATTAGCATCAGGAGCCGAGTTGATCTAGCCATGTCCATTCGTTCGTCTGTCTGTCTGTCCTTCCGTTTGCCCGTCTGTCTGTTTCTAGGCGAAATGGTCTCTCAGTTTTAAAGCTATCATCTTGAAACTTTTCATAGGTCCGTTTTTCAGTTGCAGGCAGTAATTATGCTGAAACCGACTGGATCGGAGAGCTATATTATATAGCTATTAAAAGAACGATCGGTCGCAAAGTAGATTCCTGTATAGAAAAGTTTTTTGCTTATCAATATATCTTGACTAAACTCGACATTTATTGGTTTCAATATGCCACCTATATATATGCAAAACCATATCAATATCGGATCACTATCTACTAAATCATATAGCTGCCAATCGGTCGAAAAGTATGTTCTTGTATGGCAAAATATTATGTTTCCAAGATATTTTTCTCATTAGAATGAACTTCACTATTCTTACATATCTGCAAACCCGTATAGCAAATGTCTAGAAGGGTATTAAAGCATCGGCGTGCCGAAGATGTGCTTAGTTTTTCGTTTTGATTTAACTTACCGCAAAGCTACGCGACTATATGGAGCATGCCAGGAAATCGCAATGTGGTTATTTACAGTATTAGTAAAGCATTGAAGAAATATTAATTAATGCACATAGACAGTTAAGCAGATGGTTTAACGAGCTGCTGTTGCTTACCGTGGCTCCGTCCTCCTTGCCGGGCCTCAGGCCAGATGCACACATGTAGGTGCTGGCTATGGTTTTGATCTTTTCGATGCCACTGAATTTCGGTTTCAAAAGTAACTGCAAGATACGCCAATTGTAGATAAATCATGATAAATCATGAGGGTGTGTCCTGTAGTTACCTTATCGAAGTCGCAGATGATCTCATTCAGGAGACGCAGGCACTCCAGGCCCTGCTTATTAACGTCCGTCTCATCGTAGAACTCCTTGTAGTTGGGTATGGAGGCAAACATGACAGCCACACAGGAGTAGCTCTCATGATACAGCTCCGTGGAGCGCTCCAGATGCAAAAAGTGTGTCGCCACGTGAGCCGGCAGAATATTCTCCAGCAGTATCTAAGTGAGACAAATGATTCAAATAACATGTTGTTGGCAAGTGTGATTCGATTATATAGTATTTACCTTGTTGATGCCTCGCATAGTCTCGACCTCCTCCTGCTCGACCTTAAGCTTGGCCTTCCACAGAAAGTCCGTACGTGCCACATATTCGCCCTGACGGTCCAGTGTATGCAGCACGGCAATCACGAGCAACAGCAGCAAAAAGCCCTTCACCTCCAGCGGTAATCTGGGTGTAAATTGCCTGCTATAGCTTGAGTTTCCTTTAGTTCAACTAGCACTCACCCATTATCGTAGTTGAGCAGATTGTACTGCACATAGAGATCGCTATAGCCGAGCACAATCACCTGTCCGATCAGAGCCAAGACCATGGCAATCAGCTTGAGTATAAATCCAGAACGAAGGAAGGCCGAAATCGCCGCCAAGCTGACGGCACAGCAGCAAAGAAAGATCGGAGCTTTGGGTATGGCATGCGCAATGTCCAGTGGCTGCAGATCTTCCAGAAGTGTGCTATTGAAGCTATCGCTGGTGGAATTGGTGCCATTGCCGGCTGCATAGGGCAACTCGTCGGGCAGCGTGTAGTTGATCTATTCCAAATCGTTGCTAAGGTATTGAATTGAACAAATCTGGGCAGCTGGTGGACTTACCACACTGAATACGGCACAGGATGAGATGAGTATGTTGACAATGATGAACATGGCCATGCGCAAGAAGCGACTGCTGGCCACCACCTGGCCGGGGCCATTGCGCTCCGTTCTCGAGGCATGCACATCCGGCACGGACATGTTGCTCAGATAGAGGAACAGCGCAAGGGATATAAAGCTGGCCAGCAGCGAGCCGAGCAGCGCCAGGTTCCTGTCAACGAGCATTCGAGTCTGAGTTAAGCAAATCGCCTCCGGGATTAGATCTCACCTACAATTCGATTACAATCAGCTGCACCACGGCCAGCGAGAGGAAGAGCACAAATGCGCATATCAGGTCGTAGCGGAAGTGCGTGTCCGGCTGTTCTCGGTACATGGCCTCCCGAGGCGTATTCCGGTACCACATGGTGAACGGCTTTAGCTCTGTGGGCGGCCCCAAGAAGTTAAAATTGAAACATTTACGCTCCGGCGGCAGCAAATTTGATTCAATCATGGCAATGCTCTGCAAGAAATAATACATGTTTCTCAGTTTGCTATCCTCTGGCGGAAAAGGAGCAACCGGAGCAACCGGAGCAGCCCGAGCAGCCGGCGCCCGATGGTTCCTTAATATGCCTGTTGCTTGTTTACTTAATTCGACCGAACCGACAAACTCAACAAAATCCGCAAATCCAATTGAATTTAATTCAATTTAATTTTAATGCTGTTCCCAGCGGCG